CATATAGGAGAGAAACTACCTCTTCAGCTTTGAACTTTAAAGAAAAAAAACTCTGATGTCAGATACCCTGAACAGGCATTTTTAGCCAGTGACCTGTTGGAAGAATTTATGCATATGCACGAAGTTGCCATGGCTCATTATGGCTAACTGACAATGAACTAGACATGTGCTGGGTGCGTGATTGATTGTATGATCAGGCATACAACGAATCCTATGGCAAATGTTCAATAGGATTCTGGCCATCAACTCTGTGCTCCTGCCAAGAGATATGTCTGGCTCTCTCAGAGGAATTCTACACTGAACAGTCTGTTTTGCAGGAATTTATGGATTGTTTATTTGTTTCTTGTGTTCTGATTTTGCTGGCTTTTGGGTATTTCACCCTCCTTACTATATTTTATTACCGCTTGATTTATTTTTGATAATGCATGAAGTAGTTTAGAACACAAAAACTGTTTATGGTAAGAGAAAGGGATAGTTCAGACTTTATGGTCACTCTTTATTGATTTTATTGGATAGCTCAGTATTTTAGGTATCTGGCTGCTGAGCCAGACAATGGGAGTTCAATTCCCAATTGTGCCTCTTGAGATAAGAGCCAGTCTGTGTGGCCTTGGGTAAGTTGCACGGTCCTAGAGCGCCCCCCTAGAAGGGAATGGTAAACCACTTCTGTCAATTCTACTGAAAATCCCCACAAACCTGTAAGTCGGAATCGACTTGACAGCACACATTTATGATGATGATGATGACAGCTAAGCAAAAACTGGGCTTTAATTAGTATATCCATTAGTTAATCTTTAATTCTCCTTTTCTAAGCATATTGATTGTGTTATTATTTGTGTTTTAAATAAATGTATTTTTATTGTTAACGAATTTTGTAATAAATGTTCTGAAACAAACCATTGCTAGAGATGACTGAAAATCTTTTTATGTGGTACAAAATGATCTTTATTGCACAACATTAGTAAAGTTATCCAGCATCTAAGATACACGGTGGTGCCTCAACTTATGAATGCCCCACCATATGACCATTTCAAGTTATGACCAGCTCCGGCCACAAAATTTTGCTTCAACTTGTCGCCGGAGCTTCCACCTACGAACAGAAAAGGCGGGAAATTCAAATTGCTAACTGTTGGTGCTGAAGAGGCTGCTTCTTTCTAGCTCTTTTGCCCCAGCAGTTAGAAAGTGTGCAATCGGAGGAGGCTGCCTGGTAAGGTAAGATGCTGCTTTCTGCTTTTTAAAAACCGTTCTGGGTGTTTCTGCAGTGTGGTTTTGGGCTGGGGGGGGGTATGTTTCTGTGCTGTGATGGGTCTTGGGGGTTTGTTTGTGTTTTGTTTTTGTTTTTTCCCCCAGTTCCAATGGGTCTTGGGGGGTTTGGTTGCTTTTTGGAGTGTTTTTCCCCATTCCTGATGGGTCTTGGGGGTTTCTTTATTTTTTATGGTTCCCCCACCCCTTTCCGATGGGTCTTGTATGTTTCCCTTGCTTTTTGCTTTGTTTTCTTTGCATTTCTGATGTTCTCCATTTGTTTTCTTTGTATTTCTGATGCGCTCCATTTGCTTTCTTTGCATTTCCGATGTGCTGTTTGCTTTTTCCTTCGTTTTCTTTGCATTTTGGATGTCCTCCATTTGTTTTCTTTGCATTTTGGATGTGCTCCTTTGTTTTCTTTGCATTTCCGATGTGCTCCCTTTGTTTTCTTTGCATTTCCGATGTGCTCCTTTTGTTTTCTTTATATTTCCAATTTGCTCCGTTTGCTTTTTCCTTTGTTTTCTTTACATTTCCGATGGGTCTTGCACACTTGATTGCTTTTCTTTTCCCTCCCTTAAGCCAGAAGGGAATAATTGCATTTCCGATGGTTCTTGCAGTGATTTTTTAAAAAAATTTCTTTGGCCGGAATAGATTAATTGCATTTCAATGGGAAATGGTGCTTCAACTTACGACCATTTCTAGTTATGACCGAAGTTCCAGAACCAATTAAATTCATAAGTCGAGGCACCACTGTAATGTCATTATCTTGAATTTTGCCTGTTTTGAAACTACACATATACATCTGAATGCCAGCTTACTTGTTACTTGAAAAAGCAGGTCTAATACTTTAAAATAACATGGCTTTATGATGTTATCAGCATAATTTAAAATCTTGGTCCGTGGTGGAGGAGAAATTAACAAAAAAAGGACAACTGCTCCCACTGAGAGGTACGGTATTTACCACTCTAGCTCCTAGAGTGTTTGCATGTTGTCCTAATTAAAGCCATGTTATCTGAATCAGTTACAGCTCTTCAGGGCAAATCACTTAAAAACACTCTTTCCTGTTTTGGATGGATTTTTATTTCTGGAGAGTGTGGGATCCTAGCAATATTTTGATGCCTGCCAAAGTATAACTCTAGGGCAGGAAAATAGAAACCTCTGAAGAGAACAGGGTAAGATAAGTAGTTATCTGTTTCCCCTTCCTTCCCTGCCCTTGTCTACTAAATAATTATAATAATACAGGGAAACATCAATTCATACAATTCTTTTATGATATTTTTGAAAAGGCCTGTGGCACCTTAAACACTAAAAGGTTTTATTTGGCAAAAACTTTTGTGGACTGTTCAGGTTTTCAGATATGGCTACAGTCCACAAAAATTTGTGCGAAACATTCATTTTAGTCTTCAAGTTACCACACGACTCTTCATTGTTTCTACTACTACAACACAAGTCTGTTGTTTAATTCAAAAGGCTCTAGAATAAGATTGCTATTCCTCTGGAATTATTCTTATGTATGTGATTCCTTATATCAGGATCAGATTTACTTCATCATTATACAGTAGAAGTAATTCACTCAAGTTACTGTCTATATTCCTCGCTTAAAACATGGGCACAAAACATTCTGTTAGGGGAGCAGAGTTTTTCCTGTTTGGGGAGCTGAAGCAGAAAGCCCATCTCTTGGGTTTATTTGGGTTGTAATACTTGGCGTATTAAGGTACACAATTGTATATTAGTCTGCCATGTTCTGATTGAGGAAATGGGTGGTGGTGGTCAGAATGCTTTTGCTTTGCAAGGTTTAACTTTAACCCTTGCTTTGGTGCTTTAAATTGGAGGGCTCTTCTTTCTGACTGGGGAATTGCCCACATTATGAAACAAAAGAACACATAGACATCAGTATTACCCAAAGGAAATTTGTCTTGTGGTAAGAGTTACTTTTAAAAAGCCAGTATGTAAATAAACAAAGCAAGCATTCAAGAACAATATAAAACCACACATGCACACACAAATACACATAGAGAAGCAGAATATCTTTTCCCAACCAGAATCTCTAAGGAAACCACACCACAAAGGAAAGGGAGCTACTATTTAAACTTACAAATTATGAGGTATTGCTTGTAAATCTCTCCCCCCCATCTTTCCTTGGAAAAGCATTCTACGATCACAGGTATTCCATCAAAATCTAATCCTATACAAGAAGCTGGGTGGGCGGGCTTAAAAGGCCCACCTTTTACCCCATAACTGTCACTATACACAATCCAGTTGTGCAGAAATACAAGTAGGGACTTCAAGTTTACAGAAAGCAACAGAATTGAGATTTAGAAGTGGATAATCAGTTAATCATACCCATCATAAAAAGTATATAATATTTTTCCTCCTTCCTTCCAGTCTTCAATATGCATTTCTGTGAAAGAGATAACATGGTAACAAGTCATCCATCATAACTATGTGTTGCTAGAGCCATCCCATATGTTCAAAATAACCTCCTATCACTCTGTCTCGAAACTTGCTTTTTGGTGCCTTTCAAATACCAGTTTAAAACTCTGTAGCAAAGATGATACCAATAATTCATTTCCCTTTCCTTACCACTGGTATGGTTTCCTAGGAAGCATGGATGTGGTTGTTGCTCGACAGTATGCAGCTGTTAAGGCTTTTTTATGTCACCCAGTACGATGTGATAAATATTATCTTCCTCCTAGTGAGTAATGCTTATGTTTACAAAACAACACAACACTTGTCACAGAACTCACTTGGTCTCACACTGCAAATGCTGGGAGGGGGGGAAGGAAGCAGTTGGCATCACATGACAAACAGCCATACCTTCAGGTCTCACACTTTTTAAAAGTCTGGTGTAACCTCACCTCCATAGTCAAGTTGTTTTCCACAGTAAAGCTGTTGCTAGAGCTGATTTTACTGTTAGGTACAGTGAGACAGCTGAAATTGGGTGTGGTACAATAATTATTTAAATTGCTATTGTATTTTAAATGCTAAGAATCAGGATAAGCACCTATAGGATTTTGTGCCACTGGTTCTGAATGAACTTAGCTAGCCTATGGTATTATGTGCCATGATCTGGGGGAAAGGATGCATTTGCTACTCTCTCTCTCTCTCTGGCTGTTCAACATACTTGGTTGACCTTGATCCTTCTATTGTATGCATTGGAACGCATATAAAAATGAAGTGGAAATACAATGACTTTTAATCCTATTCTTTCTCCAGAAAAAGAGGAATAGTGCAATTTTAAATAGTCTCCCCCCCCCCTCAAGTAGAAAATCATTTGGAACTCCTTGCATTTCTTTACATATGAATCTCGATATAAAAAATGAAACTGACATTGACATTTTTTTCAGGAAAACCCACATTCCCTTCCAGTTTCAGAGTTCACATTTAATACTTACCAGAAGATTTTCACCTTTTAGATTGGAGATTGTTGATAAAATTAGACACAATGAGTAAATACCAGATGCTTTGTAACAAGTAAAAATAATGGTAATATTAACAACAATAATAGTTTTGAGTTTTACAATGCAAATCTGCCATTTACTATTCAATATGATTTTTTTTCTTATGAAATTTGTTTCAGCTATAAACCTTTCATCTTGTCATGAAAACTGTATGAAATATGGAAATAGAAATGCTCAGGAGTTTTCTTCATTTCAAAAGAGACACCAGGTTTCAGACATGTCGTATTTAAACAATAAATATAATTTAGCACTGACAGGGATTAATCTTTTCCTATTTGCTTCAATTTTTTCCCTGTATAGTCACGGACTCCTGCCTTGTAGATCATTTTGTGAAGCAGCAAAGGAAGGATGTGAACCCATTCTTGCAATGGTGAATTCTTCTTGGCCAGAGTTCCTTGCATGTTCCCAGTTCCAAAACAAAAGTGAAAATGTCAACACCACAAGGATCTGTTTCACACCACAACAAGAAAAAGGCAAGCGATGTAAGTTCTATTTTTAAAACGTTGTCACTGACTAAATTGAAGTTTTGTGATGTTGCCCACTGAAGGTCCTGCCAATAACAGCCAAATTACACATTTGCAAGTAAATGTATGCATAATTTCTCTGATACTTAAAATTTTTTAAATGCAGTATCTGATGTGACTGTATTTTCCCTCTTGAAGCAAAAAACAGGTGTGATGGAGGAGGCAACTTTAGTTGGGGGGAAATGACTAGAATAGAAAGAGATACACTCACTCACCCCAGATATTGTTCCACTGAAACAAAAACACAAGCTGTTATAGGTTTTTATTTTTTTTAAAGATAAACTGATGTACAGATGCATGTAACATGTAACTCAGCCCAAAGATAGTAAAGACTTGTTAACTTGCCAAAGAAGTAGCAGAAGTAGTAAACAGCATCGGAAGGGGGAAAACATAGGTGGAGTAAAGTCAAACTTTTTTCTAAAACTGAGTTTCCTCTGATTGTTTTGAAAGTGTTTTCAGTCTGATATATCTCCTGCTCTGAGGGGTTGATCTGTTGTGAAATTAAGCCAATATCTATTGTTGTTACTGCATTGTGCAACAGAGCAAATCAACATTCTACAAGGCAACTCTAAAAACGGGAGCAGCGTCTTGTATTTGTGTTCATGGTACGTAGCTCTGTCCCAGCAATCCAGATAAATTGGTGCTTGCAGTAGGTCAAGGGCTCATCTTTTTCGTTGCCTCAGTCCTTTCCTAGGAAGTCACCTTGTACTGAGTCAAACCATTGGTCTCTCTAGGATTCTAGCTCATATATTCATATACACTGTTTTTTTTTCTCCTGAGGGCTACTCAGGGTATGTGTGTAGGGGGCATGCCAAAAGTAGATGAAACCAGTCATCCTGTAATTTCTTTTTCCCTCTTTCTGTCATACTTATTCACATTATCAATTTTAAGTTGCAGGGAAAATTTACGAAGGAACATTTTATGAACTTTGGTAGCCAGAGCCAGTAGAATAAATATTTGTGTTTTGTTTGTTTGTTTGTTACACTGCACCATCTAGTGGTCTTGCCACTATTCTGGGAAGATTCCAGCAATAACATGAACATAAAGAAAACAACCAAATCCCACCCCATCCATAAAAATAAAAAAGAATAATATAAAAGGACATCAAATTTAAAAAAACCAAGATGGCAGCAACAAGTAAGATATGGGCTACAGAATATAATGAGCAAAATAAGCTTAAGTGACCAGCTATTACGAAGGAGGTACCTGGCATACCTCCACTGGGAGCATTTCATAAAGAGGTGGCCACCACGGAGAAAGCCTGGGTTCTAGTCATAGACTTCCTTGCCTCCCTTGGAGTGGCCACCCATAGCATCAACATCTGGGAAGTGCAAGTGATATGGAAAGTTGTTCTCAGGGAGAGGTGTTCTGATAGGTAGCGAGGTCCCAAACTGTTCAGGGCTTCATAGGTCAACATTAATACTTCGAATTTCGTATGGAAGCAAATTGACAGTCAAGGCAGAACTGTGGAAATACGATCATATCTTGACATTTCCAAGATCAGCCTGGCCGCTGCATTTTGTATTTGGTGCAGCTTCTGTACTGCCTTCGAGGGCAGCCACATTTAAAGAGCATTGTAGTAGTCAATCATTGATACTACCAATATGTGAACTAGTATTATCAGGGACTTCCTATTTAGGTAGGGCTATAAGTGTGCAATCTGCCAAAGATGGAAAAAGGCAGACCTGGCCTCTTTCTCCATCGAGAGAGCCTCTCCCAGAAGCACACCCAGATTATGAATTTACTCTTTCAGGGGAATTGTAACCCCATCTAGAGCCAGTCAAAGGCTCCCCAGATGATTAGGGTCCCCGCATAACAACAAAATCTCCATCTTGTCAGGATTCAACTTCAGCCTATTCATCCCCCTCCAATTCATAACTAAGGCCAGGAGATGCTCTAAGGTCTGCACAGCTTCCCCCGCTGAAGAGGAAAAGGAGAGAGAGAAAGGAGCATGTCATGAGTATATTGATGACAACAAACTCCAGATCTATGGATGATCTTCCTCAGTGGCCTCATCTAAACAGCACTGGGGAAATGACTGATCCCTGTGCGACTACACAGAGTTAAAACAACCTCCTCAAGCTGTACCATCTGGAAGAACCAGAGCCAACATAGCATTAGCCCTTCTGATTCCCAGCCTTGTTAGCTGTTCCAGAAGGATACCATGGTTGATGGTATCAAAGGCTGCTGAGATCCAGGAGAACTAACAGGATTCTACTCCCTGTCCGCCCCACTGTCAGCTTCCCTCAACAGGTCATTGAGCAGGGGAACCAGAACGGTCTCAGTCCCATGGCATGACCTAAAACAGTGGTTCTCAAACTTGGATCCCCAGATGTTCTTGGACTGCAACTCCCTGAAATCCTGGCTAGCAGTGCAAGTGGTGATGGCTTCTGGGGACTGCAGTCCAAGAACTGAGGAACCCAATTTGGGAACCACTGGCCAAAACTACAAATGAAATGGATCAAGACTATTGGTGTTCTCCAAAAAATGTCTGCAACCAGTCAATCACCACCCTCTCAATTAGCTTTTCCATCAAATCCATTGCCAGATGGATCTTTTTAAAAATGGTCTGGATCCTTGTCTCCTTCAAGCAGGAGAGCATATATTCTTCCTGCAAGGAGGAGTTTATAATCTGGATGGCCCATTCCACCATTACCTCCTTGAATGATTTCAAAAGCCAGGAGGGACATAGGTCTAATTGAGAGGTAGTGACCTTGCAGCGCAGAAACACCTTGTCCACATCATCAGATAATACAGGCTTAAATCAATCCAATAAAACAGGACAAGACGGTGCTTTGAACGTCTTGATATGACTTGTTGCCTTGCTAACAAAGTCCAGGTCCCCATGAATGGCCTCAAAAAGGCTGCAAACTGCTGGTCATCACTTCCTCTTCCTTTTGTAGCCTTACATGGTGCCAAGGAAAGGAAAGGAAAAACACACTCCAGAAAGTTTAACAGCGCTCTGCACTAGATTTTTAGAGTGTATATGGGGCTTTGGGACAGACAGGGTGATGTCAGTGTTGATGGAAACTGTGGGATCCAGGGAAAATATACAACTGCTTTCCGGCTTATAAACAGTGCATAAATAAGTGAATAAATGTCTGTTTCATAATGTCTGAAACCAGATGCTTCATCAGCTAAAACCAGAAGGAAATGGGGAACCCAGCTGCCCTGGTTGGAATAAATGTTTCTTTAAGGTTTTCATATGAATTCGCAGTGTACATGGGAGCGAAAACCAAGTGTCATGAATCCTTTCTCCCCCTTGATCTCTCTCACCTATACCCTGCCTTAAGTATTGTTACAACAGTATTTAATGGCATTCCTGTAAGTCAGAAATGTTCAGATGTTGCAAAGAAAGTATTTCACTTATCATTTTCTGCCACTCCTCTCTCTGTATACATTTTATTTTGAGTCATCACAGCTGGGGATAGTGTTTAAGCTGCAGTAGACAACATAGAAAAGCAAGTCAAATGCTGACAGTGTGATTTTCGAAGAGGTGGAGCCTAAACAGAGTCAACTTGCTAATTAATAAATAGTTTGGAAATAGTTTTTAATCTACTAGTTTTTAGTTTAGAAATGTGTGATTTTAGCTGAACCAAGCTCATCTTTTCTCAGGAAGAAAACTAACAGATAGTTTTTTTTCTAGTGAGACAATCCAATTAAGTTCAATGGTTCCCAACTCTTTTGCACTTCTGTACCCTTTGATAGCCCACTTCCATAAATTGTAAACCCCACCATTAATCAAAATAACAAAGCAGCAGAGATGTATTTTATTATTGTATTTAAATTATATTGCCTCAACTTTCTCCTTAAAAAAGGATCCAGTGTGACATACAACTTTAAAAGACTGTATGTAAATCTAACAACAGTGAGTATACAATACTGTATCCACTTTTTATGTTAGCCCACTCCACTTCCATTTCCTGGTCTTCTATTAAGCTCTGGGCATCTTCCAAACTGAACCCTTCCCTAGCTCCATCAACACCTTCTTTCCTTTCTCAAAGTAACTGGCATGGCAAAACCCACAGAAACTTTAATCTTGCCCAACCAGTCCCTCTTCTTTTTCATGCCAACCCCACTCCATTCTGCAATGGGAGACCCAATCTCCTGGCGGTATGCGTACTTCAGGTTGAGTACCACTGAATTAGTTCTTATATCATTCTGACTGTTCTAAGCCAAATATGTAGTACAAGATACATTCATTAACACAATATCCTTCAAGCATAGTACAAACCTTAATCTTTTGTTCTACTGCTTGTTCTGCTTGCAACTCAAAACTTGTTTCTTTATCAAGCTATTGTCTCTACCTTTATCTCAGCTCTGTTTCCCTTATATGCCTTGTAATATAAGGGAAGCAGACAGGCTGATCCAGGCTGGATCATCATGCAACTCAAAACTTGTTTCAAAGTACAATACGCCAGTTATATTGATCCTTGCATTTGCATTTCAAAGCAACCCTATTTAGCCCATTTCTCTCACTGTGAAGAGGGAGACAAGTACAAGAATGAGCAGTAAAGGTAAAGGTAAAGGTAAAGGTTCCCCTTGACAATTTTTGTCCAGTAGTGTTCGACTCTAGGGGGCGGTGCTCATCCCCATTTCCAAGCCATAGAGCCAGCGTTTTGTCCGAAGACAATCTTCCGTGGTCACATGGCCAGTGCGACTTAGACACGGAATGCTGATACCTTCCCACCGAGGTGGTCCCTATTTATCTACTTGCATTTTGCATGCTTTCAAACCGCTAGGTTGGCAGGAGCTGGGACAAGCGACGGGCGCTCACTCCTATAATTCTAATTCCTCTGCAGGGAGAATTATGCCTCAGCCCACCTCACACAGATATTTTCCCTTTTTTAGAAGATAAGTCATCTCTCACTTACTCCCACACCTTTAGGAGAACTTACTTCTCCTCAAAAACCAGCTGTTTACTAAGGACTCCCCTCGTTGTTGAACTGCCTGTCATC